TGTGATGGTGTGAGTGTGTTGGTGTGAGTGTGATAGTGTGTTAGTGTGTGTGTGTGTGTGTGTGTGTGTGTGAGTGCGAGAGTGAGTGTGTGTGTGTGTGTGTGTGTGCGCGAGTTTGTGTGTGTGTGTGTGTGTGTGTGTGTGTGTGTGTGTGTTACTCACACTCCTCCTCTTTGGGGTCGAGTTGAGTGACGCTGATTGACAGGCGGTCGACTCTCTCCTGAAGTGAATTCACTCGAAATGAGAAGGAATGAGCTTCATTAAAGAGCTCGCCGAACAAATCCTCCGCATATTTACCTGAACACACACAAACCAGCGGCGGATTATAGACACACACGCCGAATCAAAACTAACAGTACTTTATTTTCATCATAATTAACCTCAGTTTTAGTTCTTCTCATGATTCTAAATGTGATTCTCATTACTGTAATAAAATGAGTAAATGATCAAATTAATTTTTATTTAAATCAGCATCAATTTAAGGCAGTTCAACAAATGTTATCATAATGAATAAATATTGTAATACATAATAAAAAATTATGAAAAACAAATTAGGCAACAAAAAGTAAAAAAAAAAAAAGTTAACAGAGAGAGATAATAATAACTCGATCTCGATCTCGACTGCCGAAACTCGACTAAATCATACGAAAAAAAAAAACATCATAACTGTATATTTTCTGTATACTTGTGTCGCTTACAATTAAAGTCATTTTCTGATTTTATTTTTTGCAACGTTACTTGGCAATATTTTAAAGATATTATTATTATTATTTTGTTTATTTATTTTTTTGTATTTTGCATGGTCTGTTATTGGAGTAGTGTCACCCTGGTGGGAGTTTTAACTCCTATTCCCCCGGGAATAAAAATAAATGAATTAATAAATAAATAAATAAATATAAATACAATTTAAAAAAGCATTCAGTCGATGCAGAGACCTATAGTGCGGGGGAATCCCCCATCTCCCCACCCTCTGAATATTATGTATCATAAAGTAACTCCATCATTTGGCGGGTTTTACTCGGAAAAGCAGCTGTTTTCTAGCATTCGAATAACTACCTGAAACTATAAAAGAAGGATTGGAGATGAATTTCATTTACAAATAGAGTAGGAACGTGCATACTTTTTAATCGCCACAGTGTTTTCCTCTTTGAGTGTGTCTTAAAAGCTATGAGGAGGGGGGCTTAATCTTATCACTCAGCATACCTGGTTACAAAAGTCACCGCTCGCCACTGATATAAATATATAAAATAAAATATAATAAAAATGTTTCATGGAAAATTCTAATTCTCTTTTCTTCCAATTCTTATTTTTTCCAGTACAACAATTGTTATCATTTAATGAATAAATATTTCACAATTTAAAATACAAGTTAATGACTTCTATATATATATAGAGAGAGAGAGAGAAAAATAATACGATTTATGAAAAATTCGATAAAATGATGCATATCAATTATATAATATTATATAGTATATCGTATTAAAAATAAATAAATAAATAATGAAAAACAAATTAAAGTTAATAAATTAAATTAAATAATAAGATGTATTTATTATTAGTTTTATGCTAAATATAAATGTGACCCTGGAGCACAAAACCAGTCATAAGAGTACATTTTTCGAAATTGAGATGTATGCATCATCTGAAAGCTGAATAAATAATCTTTCCATTGATGTATGGTTTGTTAGGATAGGACAATATTTGGCTGAGATACAACTATTTGAAAATCTGGAATCTGAGGGTGCAAAAAAATCTAAATATTGTGAAAATCATCTTTAAAGTTGTTCAGATGAAGTCCTTATTGC